TTTTGAGGCCTGGATTAGTCGATACCTCATCTATAGCTGCTGAAAACCTGTTTTGCCCTCGAGTGCTGCCCTCTCTGACGGCATCTGTTATTTAAGCATATGACACAGTTTTGGGACCTCATTCAATAACAAACAACCTACATTCACACTGTGCACTTGCACAAAAAAAAAAAAACAAACCTGAAAGTGACAGTCAGCCCACTTTAAAAAATGGTGCAGATACTGTCGAACATAGCAGTTTATCAGAGAGCAGGGAATCAGTTTTCCAAGAAGAAGAGACGGTGCTGTCGTGTGTACTGCAGTGTTACAGTGGCTCTGCTCATGTAAGAGAAAAAGGTTCTGTTTGTACATTTACCAGTGGTTTGTTCTCCTTTCTGTCTCTCCCTCTTTCCTTGTTATGAGGCAATACATCATGAAATATTAGACAGTGAGGAAATTATCCTATATATTGAAGGCCAACACTGTCATTTAGAGGGAAAAGCCCAATTCAATCACCTCCTTGTGTTTGCTCTCAATAAGGGGCAGAGCTATTTTTACCTTTCTATAGCAGCAGGAGGAGGGGGGATAGGGACTTGTCGAGGGATTCCCCCGCACTGCGGTGATATATGCCTCAGGGCCGTCCCGGGGGAACACTCCGAAATTACATTAAAGTGACTCAAATTGCTTCACTGAACGTGGGGTTCATATGGAGTACACGGTGATTACATATCATATCATCGTTTTTCTTTCCCGCACAGAAATGTGAAGTTAAGTCGAGGAAAACTTGCCGAGCTGCGTTCATTTATTTTTCATGTTGCCGTAGAGCGGAGCGGCTTTGATATGTTGTCAGATCTAATGACGATGATTCATTATTTTTCAGTTTATTAACAGGTTTTCCTGCTCAGTCTTATTGTGCTGCGGCGGACGACGTCAAACTGGTCGCAGGCGGGGAACATATGCCATGTGACGAACATTGTTAGCAGGACATTTCCTAGATTGTGGTGGTATCACGACATAGCAGTCAGTATGAGAGAGAGATTAAAGTGAATATGGGTCAGTTCACAGCCAAAACTCTGCTTATCTGAGTTCTCACACACCCTGAATGGAAGTGAATATCCAGCCGAGCTAATTGAATAATTGAGGCTTGTTGGAAATCACTTCAGCCGGTCACTGTCATTATCTCTGCTGAAAACATATGCTAATAACCAAACAGCAGTGTCTACTGGGAATCCACGTGTTGTGGGAAAAGGGAGGGTTGTCAATAATTCATAATCCATAGTCCTAGTTCATAGAAAATCTCAGCCCACCTCCTTATGAAAAAAAAAAGAAATAGTTCCAGGGCAGGTAGCGAAAAGCTGCACTCATCCTCATCTGAAATTCATTTTGATTGTCTCCATGCAAGATTGATGAGGTTTCCTTGGCCGCATGTTTGTACAGGCTACATGGTTAATTTAAATCATTTATGTCTTGTGTGTGTGTGTGTGTGTGTGTGTGTGTGTGTGTGTGTGTGTGTGTGGGTGAGTGCTGTAACCGCTCGCTGGGTTGCCCACCTGCTGACACACGGGCGGGAGATGGAAACACATACCTGAAGCGTGATACCTCTTGGGGGAGAGGGAGGGGGGCGAGAAGCGATGTGATAAGGGTCAAATCAAGGCAGTGCGAAACAGACATTAGTCATTTCTGGGGATTGATGGAAGGTAACGTTACAGTGGTAATGGAGGAGAAGCGGGAAGGCAAGTCTACAGTATTCATTCACACAGCAGATTTAATTTCCACCACATGCTGTGATCAATCCACATTGACCACTTTAATGGGACTATGACTGATAACGCTTATTGCCCTTTATGTCACAAAATCCCAGGAACTGACGAGGATTTATTTTCTTAGCACTTAAAGGAGCAGAGGAAAGGTTAACTCCGTGTTGTTGCTAGTACATGATCAGGTTCAGGGCTCTGCTGCAGGCTGCAAGTGCGAGTTGTTAAAAGGAGGGCTCTCCCTTCCACTCCATGTGCATCCTGTGACTTTAAAGTACATACATCAAGTACACCTTAATTGTGTTTCTCTGACGGCCTGAGCCAATTAGAACTGTATGTCAATTAAGACAGAATAATTTGAGCTATATATGAACTCAAATTATAAAATGTAAATTTTGTCAAATCGTGGGACTCTCCAATGGGTGAAGTAACAATTCAACCTGAGGTGCCTTTAATTGCAGTTTATTAAATTTCATTGATTATTCTGACGTAGGTGTACTTGTCCTTAATGGGTTAAATGGCCAGTGGGATATTAGCTCATTATTTTTTGCCACATACACCTCTAGGGCTGCAGCTAACAATCTTTTTCATTATTGATTAAATCTATTGATTACTTTTTGATCTATTGATTATATGTTTAATTTATTTTCTAAATAAATAGCAAATAGTGAAAAATAGCCATCACAATGTCCCTGAGCTCATGGTGACGAAAACATAAACACATAAACAAGGTGAATTGCACTGAGAGGTGATATCAGTGCCACAATAGGAAATGATTATATTATTAGCTAAAATTGTAAATATTTCCTTCCCTCCCACATTATTAGGATGAATTCTGAGCCACACAACCCAAACTGTCCTTTGCTTGGAGGCTGCAGACACCAACCAGGCCGTGGCTTTACCACTATACATTTATGGCTCAGTGCCAATGAGCTTTCCTTCTCATGCTGTGTGACCAATCTGTATCCTGTGCTGACTAAGATCCTGCCTGTTCACGTCTCTGTGTGCTAACCAAACCTGGAAACCATAATTGAGAATTAAGTATTAGTAAAAAAAAAATAAAGGAATAATTAACTTTCAGTCAACCGGCTAAATTTGCATAGCTTTATTTCATTCTATTCTTTAGTTACCTCATGAAAATGCAAAACCTCGAGTGGTTCTGGATGCATTAGTAACAGTGTTGAGATAGACCATGAATGGGCGTGCTGAGAAACAAATAACTATTTCAGTTACATAACACACACGAGTCTTTTTGGAAAGCCACGCTTATTGCGGCGGCTGTTTTAATCTTCATTTTTATTCCTGTTCGGTGTGCACCTGAAAGCTGCAGCACCAACGGACATGTGTGCGTCCGCCGGTGCCAGCTTGGTGCGGGCTGGTTTCATTTCAACGCCACAGCGGGCGGAGGGGAGATCATGGCATTGCCCCGAGAAAGAGGAAGGGAGAGAGAGAGAGAGAGAGAGAGAGAGAAACAGAAATAGAGGAGGGAGAATGTTAGCTTGGGTAAGTGGATTATGTGCTGTGGAGGAAGGAGGGAGAGGCTCTGTCCTCTATCTCCACTGCTGTTCGTGCTCTGGTTAAATACTACTTGAATCAAGGAAAAACAAAAACATGAGTTGCGTCCTATTTTTTTTTTTACACAACTGTCCTAAAAATGTTTGATTTTACTGAATTAGTAGCATCCTCATGGCTGGACTTTAAGCACTTCTTGCCAATGCTTATTTGGCTTAGGTGCCAGATGGCGAGGGTTGGCTACAAGGAATATCAGAGTACAGATTCATATTTGCAAACATTTCAGTTATTCAAAAGAAAACCAATAATTAACTCAGCTACTAGCTGAAGGTGACTTTTTATTCAGAGAATAGTCGTAGGCTGCAACATGAATGGTGCTGAAAAGATGAATCGTTCACTAGATCTTACAGTTTTCATCTGATTTATTGGAGTTTCTTGTTTTTTCTGTTTCTGTAAAATAATTTTATGCACTGATACTGATACTTTCTAACTATTTTTTTATAGGATAAACAATAATCTCATCCAAACATGGCTACAGTCTACAGCCATGCTCACATGCTCATAATGACAATGCTGACATGCTTAATATTTACCAGGATCATCTTATTTTAGCGTATTAGCATGCTAACATTTCCTAATTAGCCCTCAGACTCGTAGTTCAGCCGAGGGTGAAGGGAATGTCATAAGTTATCCAGGAACAAACAGACAGACCGAGCTTGCCTTAGAGCCCTGCCGCTATAGTGTGGCCCAAAATCATTAGATTAGATTAATCAATAATGGAAATGATCCAGGCCAAGTATTTCTGTGGCATCATTTAATTGTTTTTCATTGTAAAACGAAGAAAATGATATTTTTCTTTCAAATGTTACACAGACTAGTTTTTACCACTAGGACTGTGTTTACAGGAGGAAGGAAAAGAACGGCAAAGCTCTTGTATTCTGCAGTGCAGCCTGTGAGATTCAGTCTTTTTGATTTTGATTGCATCTGGGAAATGGGGAAATACCTATTAGACTAACAAATTGGGGCGTGATCTCAGAGGATGGCACAATAAAGTTACTTAAAGCACATATTTCCGTTTGGGTCCCCACTGCAGAGAAAACAACAGCACAGTTCAAACAACAGCAGCTTGGCGTGCAACAAAACTGCAAAAACAAATAAACACAGCCATCGGAACAGAGTTGACAATAAACTCCTGTAATTTGAAAGGAACAAAGTGTCCCACTAAGCCCAAGAGACGGCCTGTTTGAATTAAATGAAAGGTAACATATGTTTAAAAAGCTGTTGGGCACTTTTACAGTTCATCTCTGGGACTTTATGAATCACTGTGCCTGTACTGGGAATATACTACTAAGGGAGAGAATTTTGTTGATTATACTAAGGGAAATTTAGCATGAAATTTTCCACTGAAGCTGCAGCTACATGAGTCAGCCTGCCCACACGTCGCTGTACAATGGCACATAACTGTATGGGTTACTGTATTCCTAAATGGAGGGCAAAGGCACTTCTGAGAATTTGGCTGCGGCATGTGAACCAGTTGGCCCACTCTCCCTCCAGCTTGTAGGATGCTGTGTCATGTCATATAAATATTAAGAGCAGCAACAGTGGGGAATGGGCAGAGCAAATATTTCTAATCTGTTAATGTTTGCTTTTGCAGCTCGTTCAAGCTCGTCTGTTTCATTAAAGTAATTAGGATAAAAGATTTGTCAAATGTGACTTAAATCTCATTGACTCTTTTTCCTGTGTTTGTATCCACAGGACTACACGTTGACCATGTATTTCCAGCAGTACTGGAGGGACAAGCGTCTAGCCTACGTAGGAATCCCCCTCAACTTGACCCTGGATAACAGGGTCGCCGACCAGCTCTGGGTCCCCGACACCTACTTCCTCAACGACAAAAAGTCTTTCGTCCACGGAGTCACCGTGAAAAACCGCATGATCCGCCTACATCCTGACGGAACCGTTCTCTATGGCCTCAGGTAATGTCTGTTTGCTGTTTTCACTGGTGCTTCTCAGTAGGTTTCGTTCCTTCCACGTTTTTACCATTAGTTTGTTTGCTACGATTCAGAATTCAGTATTGTAAATTTAGCCCCCGAAAATTGGAAATGTCTCGAAGTGACATGCCTGGGACTACGTGTGTGTTTCAACTTAATCTTTAATGTTTGTTGAAGGATAAATCTGGAGATATTGAATATTTTTCTTCTTGTCAAAAAATGGTACTGTCCTGCTGCTGGAAATACTGACAAGAGAGGCAAATGTGTGTTAATCCGCCACTGAAAATAGTCCATAACAAATAGTTTAAAAACTGCAGTGCCCAGCGGTCTCATGAAATGAAACTTTATATTTGTGACACATTTAAAAAAAAAAAAAAATCAGTTTGGGGTTAACCGCCCACAGGATTTGTTGACATTAAGAATAATACAGAATAACACCAGTCTCATCCTTTAAAATATGTCTCTAAATTCACTCTAAATGTAATTATTTGATACATTTCTGTTTATTTATGTTGGTAGAGTGCTGACCTGCAATTTCCCGGCCCCCACAACAGGAAACAAAATGTTAATTCTATGTGTTTAAAGCGCTATTACAGCGCCCGCCAGTTGCCCGAGCTGAGAACTTTGCAGATCTCTGCTGCTGGCCTATGAGCAGCCAGAGGATTATGTGACATGCTCAAGGGCACCCCAGCACTTGATTTTTAAGAGAGGCAGGGTGCAGTCAGAGATGGTTCAGGAAAAAGAAGTATGAACAGGTTAGAAGGTGCATTAATGCAATGTTGAGCTTGCAGCTGTTGTTTGATATTTGTTTCATAAAGCCCTTGTTTTGAATTTCCATTGATCTTTTCGACAGGCAGGTTCAGAAGAGTTGGTGTGACCTATGAATATGGATGCATGCTTTGAATTATTAGAGTGCAAAGCAAAAAAGTGTGTGTGTGTTTGCATGTGTGCTCGCATGCTTGTTTTTGTATCTGTCAGTGTTCATACTTTACAGTCATACAGCCATGCTTGATTATGCAAGTGGAGTTCATAGCACTTAGCCTTGTGGGCTACTTATAGACCTCTCAATGCTTTCAGGAGATCAAAGGGAGAGGGAGATGTGTGACGTGGTGTTGTGTGATATGAGCTGTTACATAAATGTATGTCAGGTAAGACTGAGTAACATGATGAATACTGATTCCTATCATCGTATCAGAGAATGCATTCTTTAGATTTATGTGTGTTGTTTATTAGGGCAACAAGTCACGATTATTTTCTGTCAATAATTTATTCTATAAATTCAGTACAATTTTTTTTATGGCAGACTTTTCGAAAGTGTGTTGTATTTCATATTTTTCCAGTGACACTTTTATTTCATGTCACATCATATTTCATAATGTCACTTTTAATTACAGTGTAACTGTCACATAGCTGCTTGCTGCACACAAGCAGCTAGCTCTATGTAGCAACCACAGAGGAAGACTGTCTTTTCTATGTGTTCTGCACGCCTTTGTTAAACTGAACTTTGACTTTATGAGCTAACGTTAGATGCTGTTGTTAGCACGGGCAATAATCCAAGCTCAAAACCCAGCCCAGCTAGTTCACTTGCTAGACCAGTAGAACGTGCAGCCCAGTGACAGCTGTTATTAAAGGAGTCGACTGCTGACAATACCACTGCCATGAAAAGTGACACCATGGAATAAAAAATGGCACTATGAAATAAAAGATGAAAAGTGTGAAAACTGACAAGATAAAACAAACTGCGACATGTCGTGGGAGAACAACTCGTCATAAAATAAAAAGGGCCTTTTTCTTTAATGAAACAAAAATGAACTTCAGTGCGCTGTTATTATTGAAAGAAGAATTATGAAACTTTTCGTTATAATTAGTTGAGTTTTAATCATTTCTAACATTATTTTGAAAGGTGTTATTTACATTTTAAAGACCTGATGTGATGTTATTATAAACTTAGCTGTATAATTATATCATCTAATGGGTTTCCACAGCCTCATCTGAGTCTTAACCGAATGAAGACATGCAGTGGCTAACTGCCAAGCAGCCGGCTTTTAATCAGGCCAGACTTAGCCTAAATCATTTTGAATTTGCATTTCACTTTGCTGCTTATTTCAACAGTCTGATTATCAGCCATTTGAGCTCATACATCTGATAAACAAAGGGATACCTCGTCATGACCTAGTTCAGATGAGCAGACACTCAACTCTGCCAAGATGTGTTGCCTTAGTATTTTTATTTGCGCAAATTTGAGGATGGAGGGTAGCCAGTTTTGGTGAAGGGGGCATGAACTGAATCCAAAACAAGAGTAATGACTGCTTGTCTGTCAGGGATCTAGTGTATAATTATATATACAGTTACACAGTCAGCATTTTAGCTCGGAGGTGATGCCGTAATCTTATTTTAACACGACAATGCCAATAGTCTCCAGTAATATGAAGCTAACTGAGGAACCTAAGAAAGGAAAAAATGGACATTTAGTTTCCTTTAAAGATGATAAAACCAAGTCAAGTGCTATCACCTTAATGCTTTAATCTAATTGTGTTCCCACAGTCCCTTATGCGTCTGTTAAGCAGCTAGTTACTGCATTGTTGTTTTTATAATAACAATTGAAATAGGCCAGAAAAAACGATGGTAACCACTCCTTCCTTACTCCCATCCTATCCATCTTCTCTTCAATACAATTTGTATAAATCACACACAGCCTCTAAAATGTATTCTCTCTTGCTTCCCCTCATATCTATCGTCTTCTGTAGGATAACTACAACAGCGGCGTGTATGATGGATCTCAGGAGGTATCCCCTGGATGAACAGAACTGCACTCTGGAGATAGAGAGCTGTGAGTAGAAAGGTCGCACACCTTCGGGGGCTGACTTTCAGTCCACTGCACAGGCTGAGAGGAAAAAACCGACACGGTCTCATCAGTGAAATGTTACAGTTTGGGTGAAACAGTATCAAAACCTGGTTCATTTTTCTTCTTTCGAGTGTTGTAGCGTTTCTTTTAAATCTGTACCACAAGCACATAAATCATCAGCTCACCTGGGGCATTCTGTGGATTTAATATCGCACTTCCATAAAGGTTGGGGACTTGCAGAGATAACCCTGATGACATCACAAGGGTTATTTTGTCCGACTTTAGAAACCTCCCTCCAAAGCCTCAGAAGACAATATACAACAAAAAATAACACTTAACTAAATAACGCTTAAGGAAATATTATTACATTAAATATTAATTAATTTTTTGTCCTTTTGTGAGCGTTTACCATCATAACGTTAGAGCTCTCCTTTAAGTTCGGGGTAATGCTAATGCCCTACTGTCACCTGACATACTGTGTCGTCAAGACACCTCCAGAGTTTTTAGCCTTTTAATCGGCACCTGTTTCCACCTGACACGGCAGGGCGCACCAACTACATGGTAGGACTGAAAACAAGGATAAAGATAAACGGGGACACATGAATCCTGTGGTGTTTGCTGTAGGATTTTAAGATCTTTTTAATATTAGAACAGTAAAAATAAAAGTAAGAAATCCAAAAAGTGAAGCCAGAGCTACCAAGGACAGAGGAAATGTCAGCTATTTTTTTGATTCTTTCGACATTTTTGTGAACTCAGATGAACCTATTAACTGACTTGCTTTTCAAAGCAACGTCTGGTTCTTGGAAACAACTTCAAACATGTTTTTTTTTCTTTTTCTTCTTCTTCCCAAATGACAGCCCAGTTGGATGATCAGCAACACTGAATATCTTGGTCTCCAGTGATGGTTAGACAGATGGTTTACACCTTGGTGTATGTGTGTGCGTGTGTTTCTTCTCGTGCAGATGGCTACACCACGGACGACATCGAGTTCTACTGGAAAGGAGGCGATACGGCTGTAACCGGGGTGACGCGGATCGAGTTGCCTCAGTTCTCCATTGTCGATTACAAGTTGGTGTCCAGAAACGTCGTCTTTTCCACAGGTAAATGCTGCACGGTGATTTGTTGTGTACGTGTTTTCCGGCCTTTAGCCTCCACACATTAAAATTCCTTTGGGAATAATACATGACAGGCTGACAAGTGACATGTTCCATTTTAGATGATATTGTTCATATCAAACGTTGGCCCGTTTTCAAGCTTTGCAAACATATCTGTGCCAAAGCTTGATCTGTTGATCTTAAATCCTCAGAGCCGAACTCGTGTTTGTCAGTGCTTCTAATTGGGTTGAAGTGAGGAAATGCGCCGCCTTTGAAGTGTCCCTCAAGCAGCAGCAGCTGATGCAAGGATGCCGGAACAGTACTTGACCAAAAACACGCCGTGAACGCTGTGATTTACCGAGAAAACAATGTCCATGTGAGGCGCCTCTTGACCCTGGGAGGTGACGCTGGAATTAATGATTATTATTTTTGGTTGACGTTGACAAAACGTAGCCGATGACCCCAATCAATTCAGTCAGTCAATATAATCAATCAGTGGGACAGCAGCAAGTTGATCTTAAAGACGCTGACAAGGTGGTTTTCTTTATAACATTTAACAGTTGCAGCTAAATATGTGTAAGAGGGAAAAAAAAGCATCTTATTTATTATGTATATAGATGGTAACAGTCAGCTAGCTGGCAGTTAGCTAATCTGCTTCATCAGGAGTCTGTGAGTGTGGTTTGATCAGATTTGACACTGCTGGCAAGTCAAACAAACAACCACACAACTGTGATCAGATTTTGATTCTAATGTTGCTCACACAGTCTCTATTCTGACGGGCTTGACAGGATGTATATGTTATGTTTAGATGTCACATGTTTTTAGTCCTTGTAGCAAAGCTCAGATGAAAAAAAGCCAGCGCTGGAGTTTCAGTGGCCTGCAGCGAACCCAAGTGATCGTTCAAACCCTTAAAGAATATTCATTGATCAAAAATGAAACATAAATACTCAGGAAAAATAAAAGCAAACAACAGAAAGAGGTGTACACGGCTTGTAAATCTTGAGACGTTGGCGTCGTCATTAACTGGTGTTGCGAAAGACATCAATCAAGTGTTATTTATAGGTTCACAATGGCTGATTTCTTTAGAGCATTTCATCTCTCATGGCAATTAATTAGAAGACAGGACAACACCTTAAGGCAATTTGTCAAGTTACTGTACAAGAAAAACATTTGCGGTATCATATTTCATGTTGTAATTAATCCGTGTTTCTAACGTGGAGGAGCGTTGAAGAGTAATTCAACAATCCTCATCGCCCACAGGGGTATTCTAATACTTTCTGTGAACTTTGTTTTTTTACGCCAAGGTCCTACATTAATCAGAGTTTTATGTGCACATTTAGGCCGAGATACAGAACTTTATTGACGCTCCCTAACCGCCTGCAGTATAATCTAGTCAATGGAGGCGCATTCAAGAGAGGCAGCTTCTCCACAGCCATAGTGGGGGAAATAAAAGCTGTGTGACATTTAGTAATAACACAGTTTCTCATAGACGTTATGCTCATGAGGGAAAACCACAGTCGGAAAAGGGCATGAACAGTAAATCATGCTTTTGTTTGCTTTTTTTTACATTTCCAGGCAAGATGTAGCAGGTGGTTCAGATATCTCATTCTTTCACCCTCATTTTCTCTGTGAGTGTGTGTCTTGCACTTTGTTTACCATCATTCCTTGCTGTGTACAGTATATATATATGTCTCTAATCTTTATCTGTGAGTCAGATGTGAATGTGCCGTGGCGAACGCGCCAGAGTGCACTTGTTTGCAGGGAGCGGCGTGTCCCTTGTGGGTGGTGACTATTAAAGTTTAGCGTCCAGTGGTGTGCTCCCGTGCTCTTGGCAGGATGTGTGAAGCACATCAAAGGCTCCCCGCAAGGCTGGCTAATGACCAGGTTTCCCCCCATACATGGGCCACTAGCCAGCTTTAATTCCCTCCCTCTTTTCCTCTCTCTTTCTGCCCTGTCTTGGTATCGCTTTCACCCCCTATCGCTTGTTTTACTTTCCTCCACAACCTTCTTTTCCTCTCTCTTGTAAGAGGTGTGGTTGAATGCCAATTATCCTGCTCTCTGACAGAAAAACAGTCCAGGATTCAGAGCATTATATATTCATGTGGTATGAGGCCCACAACATCAATTATTCTTCTCTAAGCACACGTACAAACACTGTCTGTTTGTGTGTGTGTGCACACAGTATGCATGTACATATGCAAATGCACGCATGACCAGACAACATTGTTGTGTTAGTTGACATTTAAGTGTGTGTTGTTTGCGCATCGTGCACATTCATCACCTTTTATTGTTTTCATCCTCCCTGACGTCTTCGTGGTGTCAAGATAGATGCAATAGTAACAGCTTTAAATATTCACTAACATCTATATTTCATGTTTTTGCAGTAATTTGACAGTAAAGGCCTTGAATTTCCTTCAAGTTTGTGCGTTTTAGAAAAATGAAAATGCGTCATTAACAGCTTTTGAAAATAGCCCTCCAAGTGCTTTAATTACTATAACGCTGAAATTCATTAATATGCCTTAGCACCCTCTGTCGACTCCTGTAGTTCATGATTGAGAAAACACTGTGTGGGGCTAATTTTTTAAATGTTTCCAACATTTTAAAACAGATCTTAAATATGCACTTGATGGCTGCGTACATACTGTAGTTATTGCAGCCGCAGTGGAGCGGAATAAAGCTGTTAAATCTATTCCTTAAAATCTAAAACCCTGAGCAGCTGAACCAGAGTGCCTCAGAATAAACACACATGGGGTCAGTGTCTCTGTTGCCAGATCAAAGCAGCTGGTGGTTACAGCACAGTCTCTTATTGCAGGTAAAGCTCTCTACAACACTCCTGCTGTGAGGTTGACAAAAAAGAAACAGCGGACCTCCTGCTCCGTCTACCCAGCTGCCCTCCCAGACTCCCAGTTATTGCACTCTGTCTCTATCAACTCAACTTTTTTTTTTTTTTTTTTTTTAATCATCCCCGCATCCCGTCTCTTCTTCTTCCTCCCTCTCCTCCTCGGCCTCACACATGGTGTTCCACCCACTCGCGGATGTTGTTTGGTGTAGCAGTTACAGCCAGTACAGTTCTACACCCACACGCGTGTGAACCTCAGCCTCAGCCTTTTCCTTAAACCACTTACCGCATCTGTTACTGCAAAGATACTCAGTTCGGATTCAGGCTGGAGGAGCTGCCGTTTAAGGATGCATCAAAAGAAGTTAATGGGATATTTTAAGACCTGTGACAGTCTGTTCCCATATTCGCTGTGTATGTTCAGCATGTGGTGAGCTTGTTCAGGGCTGCCAGGACTACCAACCATGAGCCAAATATAGAAGGATCATCTAGTCCGATAAATAAGGCATAGTTTGTGTATTTATATGAGCTTTTCTACCGAACATCATTATAATATACTTGACGTTGAGCTTATCTTTTTACCGTTATACTTTTATCTTTCTATTAAGGTGCAAGGGAAGGGAAAATTATTGGATTATAATATATTAAGTTCCTTACCAAATAGCTTGAAAGTCATCCCTGAATTTTTACTTAAATTTAAAAATGATGGAATACATTAAGGGATGGCTTTCATATTATTTGGTCAGTTTTAAGGGGTAAAAAAAAAAACCTTAAACAGTCCAGATGATCCATTAAATGCCTTAATATTTTACAGTCCATTTTTTTTACTTCCTATGAGCGCCACTGTCTTTGTTCAACATTTGCTCTTCATCTGTTTATTCCAAACAAACTCATGCTGCTGCAGGAAATGTGAAACACATACATACTGTACTAAATGTTATGTATGGCTGCATAATGTCTTTAAATGTGAGTGTCAGTATCAGTCCACAGCAGTTACAGTAGATAATGTCATTTGATAACGATTGGAGCTTTAAAGTAACGTGTTGTGATTTTTTATTGCAATCTAACATACAGCAGGCACTGAATCTTAATGAGACTGTGTTATTTCAGAATGACTTTCTATCCAACTCTGCACATGAGTGCAGTCAATTGGACCCACGCTCGCCACAAGTAGCTTTGGCTGAAACCCACGGATTGGAAATTACAGTGTAATGGCCCCCACTACTCCTCCAAAATGAGGCGAAAATGGAAAAATAGCTAAGAATAGTGGGAGTAACGAACCATAGATTCAATCCATAAAGAGGCATACACTGGGAGACTGATGAGAAACCCCACAACGCCCTTATATCGGAGTTTCATGCACACACATGCACACACATACTGTTTATATATTCCAGGTCATGGGAAAGTATTGGCAGAAATGCTTTCTCATAGCAAATCATGTTGAGGAATGTCACTTCTAATTCCTGAGTTATGAAGCATCAGAGGCATCGCTACATGCATTTATAAAGCTATTATTCCTGCAGTAACGCTGAATCCCTCAGACTCATCGTATGAATTATGGAGGTGGAGTAGATGTGGAGAATTGATAAATCAAAATGTGCTAGAAATTTGATCACTAAGCTGAATATTGTGTCACATCATCATAAAACAAGGTTACAGTTTTGTGTGTGTGTGAGAGAGAGAGAGTTAGTGTTTGATTAAGCAAGTGAAGGGGGTACTTGTTACCATGGCAATAAATCCAGCCCATGCTGTCTGAGTTGTCATGGAAACTGAAACAAAAACATAAGGTGTCCCTGTGTGCTACTTGGAATAATATAAATATATTTTACATATTTTTTAATTAGCTAGAAGAGATATACTTTTTGTTTTTCGTGATCATTAATACTACCTTAAAAAACTCATTTCCCAACCAGGAGATTTAAAATGCACTGCTTCTTTTCTTAGGTGCCTACCCTCGACTGTCTCTGAGCTTCAAGCTGAAGAGGAACATCGGCTACTTCATCCTGCAGACGTACATGCCATCGATCCTGATTACCATCCTCTCCTGGGTCTCCTTCTGGATAAACTACGATGCATCGGCAGCCAGAGTGGCTCTAGGTAAGAGCCAGGGGCTGTTAGGGAGCAGGTATTTGGTTTTCACAGATGAGGTTGGGGACCGGCATGAGCCACAAACTCCCTGTTGGATTCCCAAAAGCGATGTGTCTTCATAAACACAGCGAGAGGCTGAACTCCTCGTACTGTCGTGGGATTAGTGGGAGCTTTAGGGAACAACTGGGAAATTTGTGGACCAAATGGAAATAGAGTTGAAGAACATTTCTATTCTGTTTGCTGTAGAAGAAAAAAAGAAAGTAGGTTACTGTCTGCTATGGACACAGGCTAATTTTACCTAAAGTATGGAAATATTGTTGCAGAGATATTGCAACAAGCAAAGTAAACATTTTTTTGACCATTGCGCTTCTCCGAAGGGCAAAAGCATGAACGCACGACCTTGATTGGGACGAAACTGGGTCACACCACGTGTTTGGAGTTGTTGTCATGGACAGGCCTCGAGGAGCTGTAAATACATCACAACTCTAATGAGCATAATTTCACTTCTTATTGAGGAGTGCTTGTGTGGGTGCAGAGGCCCACTCACTGTGGAGCTCCTGTGAGCAATAAACAATGCGGAGATGGAGGCAGCAGGTCACTCTGATAATAACTGTGATGCCTCACAGGAGCCCGCAACACTGTTTTGTCTTTGTTGAATATTGAATTGGCTAGTCCTCAATGACATATCAGGCAGGAGGAATAGTCATAATATGAAGGTTGTTAAGACAGTAGCCATAATTGCAATTTAGACAATATACTTTCCTCAGCAGTCATAATTAAAACTGTGTCAAATTGGTAATTGACCGTTCGCCAAACCCCTCCTCTGATCAGCAATGGTTCCATTATAGTTTAGCAACTGTAACTGCAGTTGTTTGGAAAGTCTTTTTTTTTTTCAATCCAAAACACAAGAGAGGTTTTGCAGTCCAGGAAGAACCTAGTGAGCTCGCGAGAGTTGACTTCTCAGTCAACAAAATTGATGGTCACCTGCTAGAAATGAGCAGTTTTTTCCCTCAGCCTGAAATCAAGGACCCCTTGTACCAAAAGTTTTATTAAATATATTGTATGAAGTATCTAGTTGTTTTTCAGTGCTGAGCTCCACTACAAGCTAAGCCAAGTAACATGTTGAGACTTCTGCATAGTGTAGGAGTTCCTTCAGAGTAGTTTAGTTTTGCACTGAAAGGAGAACGCTGTTTCTGAACTGGCAACAGTCCAGTCATTCATGCAGCGAAGCCCCCGCAACAGGCAAACTTCTCCAAAACACCATGTTCCATGTTGCACCAAATTATTGATGCCAAGTAAATTAATGCTTAAAACACAGCTTTGCATGCTGAATGTTAATTTTGGAATCAGTCTACTTACCATGAATCCTGGGGTCCAGTGCGTGTCTGTTCGTCTGCGGTGATTTGAAGGCAGGTATATAATGAAGCTGCCGTGTGTAGTGCACAGGTGTGGATATGTTACGTGGTGGAGACTAAATGGGGGCCTGGCAGCAAATCTTTGCCCCGGGGCCTTCTAACACTTCAATCTGGCCATGCCAATTGATTGCTGCTCTGATCATCTTTATATGGATAGATAATGGACCTTAACACATAATGCTTTTTGGAAAACATGCTTTGATCCATTACCTTTCTGCACCATCCATTTCTTCCCTGTTATCCACGGGCGCATAAAGCCTATTAGAGACTGGAGTGGATCAGTGTGTATGTGTGCATGTGTGTGCACATACATTTGTTTTGTATCCACCTTTATTTCCCTGCACGAACTGGTTGTCTTTCTTTCATTAAGGCATGTATTTGTCATTACTGTACGCACCCGAGTGTCTGCTTATGTGTGTGTGTGTGTGTGTGTGTGTTTGTGTTTGCAAGTGGATGTAGACATGTGAAAGCCTGCTAACTGCAATATCCGGTGTGTGCCTCCTCAGCTGAGAGGCTACCGGAGGTCCATTCACTTCTCCTGATGGATCATTACAAGCTGATGGCGGAAGAGCAGGTGTGTGTGTGTGTGTGTGTGTGTGTGTGTGTGTGTGTGTGTGTGTGTGAGCATGCATGTGTGTGCGCGTCGGCCCCTTTGTGTGCGCAAACCTGCCAGTAAGAGCAGTGTAATGATCAGGGAGAAATCAATTCAAGGAGGCAGCAGGCAAACAATTGAATTGTTTAAAGGAGAATCTCATTTTCCTGAGCAATTTCGAAGGATTGCAAAGTTATAAATGACCTGCTCGCACCCTAATCTGGTTGCAAACCATTTCCCACAGTCATGCCCTTCGTTCATAACCATATTATATGAGGAGTCGAGGTGTGGGCATTTGTTGTAATTGGTACAGGAGCACTTTTAGTCTAATGGCAGACACACAAGTCGGAGCTCACTGTACGTTCTTCCAGACATTGGAAACCTCCTTTTTCTCAATCACAGACTCCCATAATGACAGGTGCTGAAACATTGTGCATGCTAATTAGATAGCTGACAATTTGTGCTCTCTGCAAGTGATGAATGGAAGTATTCAATTAACACCGCTTTGATTTACCTCCCGTGCCTGTGTTCCTACAGTCAACATTCATTGCCGTTTTCTGTGCTTTATTGCATCCTACATGATACCTTTTCCTTTTTGTAATGTTGAGCTGTGTTGCTAATGGCCTATTGTGATTAGAGGAGATTTGATTGCTGTGTGCCTTTGTTCCAGCTGTTAAGGTGGAAAAGAGACTCGGGGACATATAACAGGAGGAAGGAGGGGGGAGGGGACGGAAAGAGGTGCAGGGCGAGCAAAGAGGGAAGCCACCACTAAATGATGGTGAGATCGGGGGGGGGGGATCAAGGATAAATGAAGAGGGAGAGGAGGAGAGATTGAAGCAGAAGTAGAAGAAGGGAGGAAGAAGAGAACAATAAGATGAGACAGCGAGAGAGGGTGAGAGACAGCAAAAGACATAGAGTGAGAGAAACCCTATAAAACTATATTTCTCCCCGGAGAGAGTAACATCGTGATGGAAAAGGAGGGAGGCCCATGTGTGCACAGCCCCTTGATTAAATTGTCCGAAAAGGGAGCAAAAGAGAGGGAGTGAAGGAGGACTAGAGGGAGGGAGGGAGTAAAGGACAGAGAGTAATGGCACAGCCGAGAGAACACCTATAAAGAACAAGGCTGTCGTTAAGGAAAGAACCCAGAGATTGCACCATCCAATAGGGGCAGTGACACTGAGCATGTGCACATGCAGCCAAGCTCGAGCACATTCACACTCACTTCTCACACCTTTTCCTGACAACGCACATACATTCACACACGAGCGGTGTTAGCCTTGTAATGTGCCAATAAATCACACTAAGGGCGAGATTGACCTTAGCTATCCCTCTCCTTCCTCCCCAAGCCCCTGACTGTTCCCTGTCTCCTCACTGTGCCGTATGACACACATACACACACATGTGCACACACACTCCAAAAGCCTTGCACATGTGTGTGCTGTGAGCAGCCCAGCTACTGATAGGCTCCATTTATTTTCCAACACAGTCAGATAAAGTAGTAGAGGTGTATCTGCGATATATCTGTAATGACATAAGATATGGCGTTATTGCGTTGCAGGTCAGGGTTTGCATGAATACGGGTGAGGCGTTTTGTTATTTATTTGCTGCAACATTTGAAATGCACAGTGGCCCTGAATAACAGGACGTTAGAGCTGCCAGTTATAAAACGGGAGTTTAGTCCAGACATGTTTTCAGTGTTTCCTGGGAACTTGATTTGTTGTGTAACCGTCCATCTGTCCGTCCCATTCTCTTCAAATCTGGCACAAACATTCACTCACCCTCAAGGATGAACTGATAAGAATTTGGTAGTCAAAGCTCAAAGGTCACTGACACCTCACAAAACATGTGGTTGACCATAATTTACAGAATTAATACGTTAATTATGATAAAAGACACTTAATACTGAGCACATTAGCAAATCCCTTCAAAGTCATCACTGCATGTATTATTTGAGTCTGGACAGACGTGGATGCCAACTGAAACTTGAAAGGCGTACAACAGAATTCTTGTCTGTTTTTGCAGCATCTTCCTGTATTAAATTTTTTTGTATTTGATTGTATGCCCTCTTTTTACAGTGCATTTTACTTTTTTTTTTTCTTCAGTATTCACTTGTCAATTTGGTGAAGATGTTTGTCCCATTTGCATGTGTTTTCTTAAGTGAATTGAGTTTTCAAAGTCTCTTTCTCCTCCTGTGATGCTGAACCACACAAGGTGTGAAGGTGCCTTTACTGGCTGATAGCAAATAACTACACCACTCTGTACCCCTAGTGGTTAAGGTTACTAAGAGCTGGGGGCTAGAGACATGCAGCTCTATTCTAATGAGTTATTTCTGCTTGATGACCGAGGGGCAGTTGGAGGTTTCAAGGCAGACCTTTGAATTTCAATGAAGCAGAGGTTATAGACTAACATACTAGTATGTGTGTTCATGCGAGTAAAATAAGCTCAAACATGAAAGCGATAAGAAAATTGTTTTATAAGCATGCTCAAGCAAAAATACATATAGTGGTCGCTCTATTTCCACTCTATATTTAACAAGCGGAGGAAATAACCACAGTAGAACCATGTTTTCTATAAAAAAAAAAAAAAAACGTCCTCGTTTCTATAGTAACACCTAAGACATCTTTTGGAGTTTTCTCCAACGTGACCGTAAGGTTACTGACAAGATAGCACCATCTGCTTCGAACGGTGGGGCACTCCTTTAAGAGCGTATGCTATGACAGGTTTGAACTAATTAAGCATCAAATTTACCATCTGAGACAGACTGCCAAGAATGCTGATGAGGGATCCTGGGAGAAAAAAAAAAACTTTAGTTTCACATTTTATCCTTTAAATGAGGCTGAATGATCTAAACAGGGCAGAATTTACCACACTTTTGCTCACAAGCATCACTTGAGAGACAGATGAAAGACCTGAGCAGGATGCAAGAGTTTGTCATTTAGTTCTGAGCTTATCTTTTAAAATGTAAATCGCAAAACATATGTAACAAACTAAAACATAAATACAGCTTACAACTAGCTAGTAGGAAGACAGTATAACTACTTATACTAACTGTGACTCTCATACTAATATTTATCACAGCTACCATCACTGCTCTATTTTCACAAGCAGCCTTTTACTATGAGCGATGATTAATTGATTGTAAAATGTGGAGAAATAACGACAAACTCTTATTGTCTTATTGTGTCTGGCAACCAATCGAAACCCAACTGTTTTCAATTAATTGCAGTTAAAATGGAGAAAAACCACAACCAACGTTCAGGATGTTCAGTGCTTTTTCTTAAACCTTCATTAAATGATATTTTTTGGCTACATGACAACGTGTAATCATGTCACATCCAGGAGCAGCTGCATTCATTGATTTCCTATTTTTATGGATTAACTGATTTATATTATTTCCAGACTACAAAATCAGTAGTCATAATGATACATGTGATTAACAGCACCAATATCTTTCCTCCTCAAAGGGATCACCACGGTGCTGACCATGACAACCATCAACACCCACTTGAGGGAGACGCTGCCCAAGATCCCCTACGTCAAGGCCATCGACATGTACCTGATGGGCTGTTTCGTCATGGTCTTCCTGGCCCTGCTCGAGTACGCCTTCGTCAACTACATCTTCTTCGGGCGGGGCCCCCAGATGCAAAAGAAGCTTGCGGAGAAGGCGGAGAAGGCCAACAACGAGAGGGCAGCCAAGTACGACGCTGCAAGGGTGAGTTGGGATTTGATGGCTGGATGTGGTTTCTGGACCTTGGTGTGCAGGCGACTTATTATCAATGCTTGAAGATTGAATTAAGAAGTCTAAGTGAATCATTAAATAAGTGGTAGGTTCAAGGTGAGAATGTTGATTTTTGTAGAGATAAGCTTTGCCAGTGGTCTGTGGGATCCATGATGAAACAAGAATGACTCTGGTATGAATATTTGGTCACTTCCACAGAACATGCTGCAGCACAGCGCTTTAGAAAGGACTCTGAGTGGACAAAGTTCAAATTCCTTAATTTTTCTTCTTCCCAACGGGAAACCAATGATAAAACAACCTTGACGTTGCAATTATTTTTAAAATTGACTTTTTCGTCTGCTCTTGACAGCAGAGGCAGCAACAGGAAAAAGTTCTGCATAATTGAACTGTATGACATTATCACATTATTCATAGGCATCTGTATCCCCAGTGGAGGCTTCAGCAGGAAAAATATGTTGGTTTAAAAACAAATTATAATAATAAATCTTCAGGTATTTGTTCCCCACATGTGGCTGAATATTTTCATCTCCTCAGGAGGCAGGTAGTAGGACCGCGTCCCTAAAGCGGTCCAATCAGGTTAAAGGTCTTCGCCACTCACGCTCGGTGAGTTGTTCGTTCAATGAGACTCTTCAATATCCTCGAGTCAACTCTGCCATTGCCATCCGCTGACATGGATGTTTCTTCTTCTTTTCTTTTATTACTTTCTTTTGCCTTAATGCAAAAATATTTCTCCATCCATGCAATGAATCAAGCGGCAACAGACATTTCCATGACATTGGAGAAATGACGACCATGGCATGTATTCATTCAATGACTTTTTCACTGCAGTTTCTGCTGCATTGAAATGATGCTCATGCTCGGTCTTACACTGCAAAACTGGTGCTGCAGATATGAACTTGTTTCTCCTTTCAGAGCTCATCCTGAATGCATGCTGTCTGTGGATCTTTTCTCATTCAAATCATCATTAAAAGCCACATTTCTCACACAGCTTTCATAAAGTGACATTGCGCATGTCAGGATGCTGTAAATCAGTTCGACTTTGAGTGGGTAGTCACTGCAGAGGTCCCCCACGATTCTTTTTAAATGGACATTTTGATTTGAAAAGTGTAATATATTCTGAAAATATTTAATGGAGTAGAATCTGTAGTAAGAATACTAGCAAGTAATGGTTCAATTTTGGAGGAGTTTATCATCTTGGTCAAATAACAATTCCTCAGAAATGTGTATATATTGTAGTATTTTGACATGGTTGGAATAGCATGTCAAAAACCTTCTCTGAACCACATGAAGGTGATCTTCCTTCTAAATGTGTCCAATATCACAAATTAGCCTCAGCGGACTTTGCAGTCTGTAAATTAAAGTCAATGGAAACATCCGAATGGGTGTGAATTGATGTGAGTTCACCCAGTGGAGGCGCAAACTGAGGCATGTTGAAAACATTTCAACTTCAGAGGAAATAACTGAACTCTAGTTCCTGGTGAGTTCTGAGATCAGTCAGAGCCTGAGCACCCACCACACATATGGTTGGCTGCTAGCTAGTGTACAGCTGATGTCTGCTGGTACATTGGCATTTTGGGGGCGTCTACACACAGACTTGTCTCGTGCTTTTTGACTTTGGTAAAACCTGCCACTTTAAAAAGGGAAATGTGGGACCTCCACAGCTGCTCCATTTGCATGAATGATCGCCATCGACCATGACTGTTGATTTGTTGTGTGGCGCACACATCATAGGCATGGAGTATGATATATCTCCTGTGGGTTTGATTAAATTGTTGAAAGTGATGATGTGGGCTTATATTGATTCAGCCGGGGAAAAACATTACTCACTTGCTTCAGAGGCGGGGGGGTCCACAGGTTGTAACAGGAGGCATGACACCCAAGTCCAATCAGTAGACATTTTGACAGCTCTGCCATCACTGTGACTCTGTGTCTCTCACCCTGACATTTTGGATTAGTTTAATCATTCAGAAGAAAAAGAGATCTCTCACATTTCTTGAATCATTTATCAGTGGAAATTCACAGAAACTGCTAGACTTTAACTTTTCAGTGCAGGAGAATCACTCAGAAAGGTGATGCAAAAGGATTTTAAGTGTTTTCGAAATCTGTCTGAAATAGTCATGTAAGGACAAGTGTCATATAACTGTAATTTAAATGTCTGACAAAATTGCATTGTTGAAATTTCTAGAGGAATTACAAAGGACATAAGGTTCACAATTAAAAGCAAAAGCATGACGTCCATGGATCCATGGTCGTATTATGAGACACAGACTTGCCTCCTGCAATAAAACTCGTAGACCCCCAGACTGAAATAGACAAAATGTTGTTTGTTTTTTGTGTCTTTGTTGTCGTTTTGAGTCTTTTTGTGCCTGTTTGATTGCCGTTGCAAGAAGAAATGTTAACAGTCACCTCAAACAGAGGCTTTGGCCCCAGTGACCCCTCGGGCCCCTGTGCCTGTGCCCAGCAGGCCCTTTCAGTAATCCTTCCAGGATAACATCCACATTTCATTATCTGGAGTGCTTGAGGGAGAGTGCCTTAAAACGTCAGGTAGTCTCCTCTTTAGCTTTTCCTTTTATTTGCTCATAACCTTGCTAATTAGTTTCCTCATTTCTTTATCCACTCAGGCGGAACCGCACGGGAACATCCTGCTCACCACCCTGGAGATCCATAACGAAGTGGCAGGAGGCGAGATCACCACCAGCGTGGCGGACATTAGGAACTCTCAGTCCATGGTGCAGTTGGACAGCACGGCCTCGTCGCACATCCAGTACCGCAAGCAGAGCGGCGGGATCGGCCCGCGCTCCGCCAGCCGCCATTCTCTGGACCGGGCCGCACAGATGAAACGCAGCCGCCTGCGAAGGCGGTCCTCGCAGCTCAAAATCAAAATCCCTGACCTGACGGATGTGAACGCCATCGACCGCTGGTCACGGATCATCTTCCCCTCCGTTTTCTCACTGTTCAACCTCGTCTACTGGCTCTACTATGTCTGATTGGACTGTTTTGTTCAGGTGTGTGATGTTGTTTGATTTTTTTTTTCATTTTGTTTCTTTTTCTTCCTTTTTCTGTTGCTTTTATACATGATGGAATATGTCTGGAATATGTCAAGTTAAAGACTGCAACAACACAAGACAACAAAAAGACTGAGAAGGACTACTGAGTTTTGGACCAAGTTCTCGTCAAAATTGTTTTTATATTTGAAGTCATTGAATCCTTAGTATTGAGGTCTTTTTATTTTCTGAAGTATGTACTGTAATTGGGACTTGTGACATTTCCCAACATTTTCCCTCTCGGTAATGTGTAAATAGAGAGATACGAAGCCAGCAATTGAATAATAATACATTATTTGCAAAAAACACAAACACAAAAGCAGTTGATGCAAAGATTTTTCTATTAAAAAAAATAATTTAGAAAACTTTATACTACACAGGAGGTCAGATAAATGCAGGCAATTTCTAAAAATCCATTAGACAAACAGATGTATGTTTGACTGGTACCCTATGCACTATTAATGCATGTAATGATCAGCCATAGTGGGAAAGTAATGACTCCTTTTTTGCCTTGGGTTATGGCACAACTTTACAAAAGAAAAACTCTGCTGATGTGTATTTGTTTCTAGTGTTGATAATATACAGTATACTTGATCTTAACTATGACATGCATTGATCTGGTAAACCTTTACCCAAACACAATAACTTAAAGTTGAGGACTTTGTCTGTGACTGTGACTCAGGTTCTGAATTTTTTGCTATTCGGCATCTTTTCTAGACAAAGAAAAGTGTCAGTGAAATATCCTCTTTGGTCATTTGATATGGAAAAAAAAGCACAAATATGAGTAAAACTGCCATTTTTTTTCACTTATAGCTTCTTGCAAACCACGCTTCAAGTGATAGCATGACAGAATTGCACTCAAATTTTCTCAAACTTCCTCTAAAAACTGTCTTACTTTAATTTAAAACAACTGCCAAGGGCCTTTTTGGCGACACGGTTACCCAACCCATGAAATATTATAATATTTTTGTACTCTATGTCTTCAGGTATTCATTTGATTTCCTAACCTGTCTTGTTCTCTCTCTTTTGCTCAACACTCACTCTGGTGTAGTGATAGAGTGGAGGAAGGAAACCCATTTTTTGTACATAAGTACATAGGTGTTTGTGTGTGTGTGTACATAAATGTATATATATATACTGTGTGTACAACCCAAAATGAAAATGATCAAATATTGAGCATTTTGTGATTGTCATTCTGGCTATTAACTGTCAGATTATTTAGTGCAAAAAAAAAACAAAAAAACAAATGAACCAATGGGTCAGTTTCAAATATCAGTTTAGTCTCTGAGCATTTTACTGAACACATTTCTTCTCAAGCATCTGACCATGTTGAGGTTCCACTCTAGACACGATGTATGTTCAATTCTGCATTTTTAGAGCTGTTGCACGCTCTGCCATTCAGCAGCAAGTCATGCAAATGGATTTCATTGACTCCGCAGACGGACCACAAGAACCGGCCCGCTGACTAAAAAGCACATACTAGCATTGAATGTATCAGATCCATTCTTCAGGGAGAGGATAATGAGCCATGGTCATCATTTCTCCATCAGAATGTAACGCGCCCATTCTTTACATTGCGGGTGACGAGGAAAGAGAGGGAGGCGACGACGTTACACGAGTGTGTGCATGTGCATGTGTGTGTGTGAGAGAGAGACGGGGAATGGATAAGGAGAGCTCGGGAGAGGAAGGGCGTGGGTAGAACATTTATTTTCTGTGCCGCTTGCTCGACTATGGACAAATGTCAACGTATAATAGTTTTGTGGATAAAAATAGCTCTCCTCTTTGACTCTTGATAACCTGTGCCATTCCACCTAAGGTTGCAGAGCAATCAGCCGGTTACAAATCATGGACAATGATGTACATCTGAAGCATTCCTGTCATAGATACATGAATACATCCACTACTTGTGCATGTACAAGAAAAAATATTGCTGCCTGATAACGGTGAGTTCTGTTGTGATTGAGAGAAGAGCCACTGGCAGTCAGAGTTGGGATCAATTTAACTTTGAAATGAGAAATTGTAAAGTTTTATGTGTACAGTCTGATATATGACTAAGAACTGAATGTATTGTACTTGGATTGTTGCTGCACAAATGCAATTTACTTTCTGGAAGCAGGATTGACCTCAACCCTGATTAATATAGGGCTCTAGTTGATTCCACATTCAAGCGATGCCAAGTCTCTGCTTTGCTGGTTTCTTGTCCTGTTTTCTACTGTGTAGATGGGGTGAACTGCAAAAATGACCTGGGACCAACAAAGCCGAACACCTCAAGGTATAAATCTAACAATATCTATAAACATATATAATGAGTCTAAATGTGTTCAGCCAGAAAGGGAAGTGAATTTTAACACAAGTTACAAGTTAATTCACCTGAAACTGGCAATGTACCAAATGTATGTTAGCCGTAAGCTAGCTGGCAACAGTCGCTCTTTTTTTCCCCTCGTCATCTATTCTCTCCATTGACTCTGTATGCGAGTGCAACCTCTAAAATTCTCTTACACTTCTGCCTGGACACTCTTAGCTTTTGGTTTTGGGCACAAAGAAATGTTTCGTGATCTCCTGCATTCAAGGTGCAGTGAACCAGTTTGTCCAAAGATGTTTCGAGCTGATTTGGAGGTGAAAATTTGCACCTATAAAATGCAAAGCAGTTGATGAAGCTTCAGTGTTGTGTAAATAAGATATAAAAGGACAGATTTCTTAAACACTAAAGCTAAAAAAAATAACTGTTTTGTGGTGCAAGTCGCAAGATCTTCCTGGCTGACTGGTTCACTTTGATTTAAAGTATTATGTTTGGTTCATGTGGTGAGATTTAAAACAACTTCTTGCAGTTGTATGAGTCTTTTTTTTATTTATTACCAAACTACATAGTGCAGTTGAAAAGTGAAAGAGAAGGCAACTATTACAAGCTCTAGATACTTGTTTATCATGCATGCAACTACAATTCATAACTCGGGAGGATTTAAGAAAAAAAAAAGATTTTTTGCAAAGTCACTTACAAGAACTGACAACTGCTCATTTTAGAGATGACATTATGCCATGTGAGCCTACATTAAAAAGAAAAAAATGTCACAAAAAAAATCATCAAAGACTTCAGGTGTTGTATGGCCTTGGTCCCATAATGGAATGTGAAATGTTCTGTGCTGCCACAAAATGTATTTAGGCTTAGATTTCTACTGTATATCTCTGTATGTTTCTCTTCCTTTTTCAATAGATTACCATGTTAAACCATCAAATAAAGGATATACATTGTACCTGTGTATTCAATGTTGCGAGCATGCATGACACTCCTCAAAGAATCTGCACATACTGTACATGTATAGCCAGATAATGTAATGAATTGCACTTTCAAACACCCAATAAATCAGAAAACATATTTTGATAAAGTTTGCAAAGTTTGAAATGCTGGTAAATGGTTGACTGTTCAAACGCCAGGAGTTGTTGGGAATCATCTCAACTTCAACCACTCAGGTGCCCTTGAGCAACTTAATCCCCAGTGCTCATTTAAAACAATGCCTTTCGAGTGGAGACCATTGCAGGTGAAGTTGAGAGTCAAAGAGCTTGGACCTGATCGACCTGACATCTTAATTCGACAGCCTTCCAAAGACAGAGGAAGACAATATACACAAAGATTTTCATAGAGCTGCATCAATAAGAAGTCTCGGTTAACAGCATGTAGTGATAACAATGCTTTATTTTACTTTCCTTGTCTCCTCTTTCAAACATCAGGAAGAAGAAGAAAGAGGTGCTAGTATAGTAAGGCCTTAAAAGTGATAAAAACAACGGTTTATGGTGTGAGCAAAAATCTGTAAAAACGACATAGTCTAATAAGGCATAAAAACATCAAAAAAGTCATAGTAAAGTATGAAGACCAGGCAGTGAAGTAGCATGGTCAGGCATCACTGTTGCTGTGTGTGTGTGTGTGTGCTGCTCCCCGGGTTCTGGGGGAGGGACATGTAGCAACACGCTAGGTTGATTTCCACAGGTATGCACAAGGTCGGTTTGTCTCAACCCAGAGGAGGCGGTTAGTAACAGTCTGGGGCCTGTTGTTACACTCCTCGTACATTTCATTAAATTTCTGTCTCGTCCAGATTGTTAATCTTCATCCACTAAACCGTGTGTGTGTGTGTGTGTGTTTGTTTCAGGGCTGTGATCAGGACGCAAACATCTACCTCCTCGACGATCCTTTAAGCGCAGTGGACGCTGAGGTCGGGAAACATCTTTTTGAGCAGTGAGTGATCACCCGTCGCGTTGTGCCGCACCGTTGAACTTAAAAGTGTAGTGCGTAGAAGGTGTCGGACAAAACGTGTCTGTGTGTTCACGAGCAGGTGCATCTGCGGCCTGCTGAAGAACAAGTGTCGTGTCCTGGGCACCCACCAGCTGCAGCACCTCAGGGCCGCCGACCAGATCCTGGTCCTCAAAGAGGTTTGTGCAACACATTCAAAGACACCTGCTGCTGCTGCTGCTGCTGCTTGTTGCACTTCAGACGGCGCTTTCAGCGTGCTCTTCTAAAGAGGATGAAAGTGTGCACTTTGTTTTCTTTAATTCTACACTCTGTGTTTTGTTCCTGCGTGTCTCAGGGTCACGTGGCGGCTCAGGGTTCCTACAGCGAGCTGTGCTCCTCCGATCCGGACACGGCGTCTGTGCCGAGGAGCGACGGGCTCGATCGGCCGACCCGGACAAACTGTCGTTGCACAGCCAGAAGACGAACCACTCGCACGGTTCCCACAGCAGCTTCCTGCCGCAGGAGAGCAACTGCACAGACCAGCTTCCTGTGAGTACATTTTCGAAATAAAATCAGAGTTTGCAAAAGTAACTTACCACCATTTCAATCGCACAGTGTCTGTTTTTTGTGCGATTTCCATTCTGCTTTGTTTTAAGCTGAACTGTGGTGAAGACGTGGGTCGTTCACAGCCTGTTTTTTGCAGGTTGAAACAGGGTGGAAGGAGACGTCGCCGGTCCCATTTATCTCAAGTACTTCACCGCAGGCTGCAGCATCGCGGTCTTACCGGTTATCGTGCTGCTCAGTGTCGTGGCCGAGGTAAGCTGAGGCTCACCGGCCTCGAGTATTCACACTCACACCTGGAGCTCGTTCTCACAGATGCACAGTGTCACACATGTAACCGGACAAGAGCGTCACTATATAATAATGAACACAAATCATCCAAGTACCAAAAGAGGGAAAATTAGATGAGATTAGATTCAACGAACTGACATAAAATACATTCCAATTCTTATCAAACTTTTATAACTTAAAGGGGAAATATTATGCAAAATGCACTTTTCCGTGGTTTTCTATCAGTAATGTCTACAAACCCCCCAAACATGAGGAAAGTCCATCCTCTCCGTCTTTTGCTTGCGCCACCTTTCAGAAAATGTGTGCTCACACAGGCCAATTGGAGATTTTCCCTTGATGTCGTCATGAAGGGAAATAACACCTCCCCCCAGGTGGGTGACACTCCCCGAGCTAGGTGTGTGTTCCGCCCTCTGAGTCCGCCTTGCAGCCGCTACCGTTTATTCCCTCGCATCACCGGCTCCGGTAAAACTATGTCGAAGGTACGAGCGATGCACGCTAGTTGCTCGGTTGTTGACTGTACAAACCAACACAGAAGTCTTTTTACCCCCTACGTCCGAGGATCTGAAGACCCAGTGGATTTGTTTTATTTTATTTCTGATGGAAATGTACCATTTCTAACCATTTCACTTCGGACTGCTTCCTCAACGAGGGCCAGTACAATGCGGGATCATAAAGCACGGATCAGCACCGACTGTCCGAGACTTCAAACTTCAAACCTGGGAGCTGTAAGTTTTACCATTTCATGTTGCTTTACTGTATGTTGCATGTGTTGTTAACATGGCAGCTAATGTGGCTAAGGTTTTGCCTCGTCCACACAGCCAGGTGTAGCCGGGTACAGATTGTATGTAATTCTGCTGCTTGGTATCGCTGTGTGACGTTGATTGGAGCCACCCTGCTAACTTTATCACACTTGAAAGGCGTTTTAGCTGTCTGCAAAGTCAAGCCAGTAAAATTCAGACTAAATATAGGCTTTGCAGCGATTAGCATAGGTGTCTGGGCTTGTTTGTTAGTGCTGTGAAAGTTAGTATTGAGAGTCATTGCCTTATGATGTCCGTTTTAACGTTTATATCATGTTTACAGATCCAGTGCCTGTGGGGAATATCTAGATAAGCGCAGAGTTACAGGGGAATATGTGAAAGGGGATAGTCTGTAATACACATTTTTTTGTATTTTGCACATATAGTGAGCTATTTGCGGCATTTGCAAGCTATTGACAAACCAATTTACACATAATTGAGTGCATTTGTTGTTGTTATTTTTGCACTGCTTGCAGCTGTTGCCATAACTACACATTTGAGGAGACGTTGGTGTAACCTCTGTTTCCTCTGTTCAGGCCAGCACATCAAGTGCATCTATACAGTTTCCTGCAACAAGGGATGTTGCATGCCAGACTGACCCACTGTAGGCACACAGTTATCTTTGAGGACTCTTCAGCCTCACATCAGAAGTGCAGGTCTGTAGCGTCTGAAGTGCATCTACTTTTGATAAACCTAACAGTCATTTATCAGTCTTGGAAAGCTGTGCAGGTAAATGAAGCGGTGGTTACTTAGAACTTGTGAGAGTGTGTAGGCTAAGGTTTCTGTCAACATTAACATCTTTGATTTTCTCTTTACTGTACCTCCAGACTCTACCTGGCTGCCATGTACTACAGTGAAAATGCTGACCGACCACAAGCCCAAACAAAAGAAGGTGAACCACTCTTCAGGGTTCACTTTCCAAAGGCATGAAGGGAGAATGCAGAGCTACACCAGTTAAGACTGAGCCGACATCCTATAAGTGTTATGTTTATTTTTCAACCAAAAAATGTTTTGTACACATTGTAAGTATTAAGTATGTAAGTATCTTAAGTATTGCACGTATAATGTTATGACAGTTCCACCAACAACAAAATACAGGAAAGAAAATGTCAGGAGGTAGTTAGAAACAGACTTTCAGTCATTGATTTATTAAAAAAAAAAAAAAAAAAAAAATAATGTAAACAAAATCTTGGGTATGTGGTGGAGCTCATATTTGAAAATGTCTTTGTTGACCTGGGACCATACACAGAGGCTGCTTTGGCAGAGGACCTCACTGCACAGTTCGAGTGGCCTGAGAAGGAGGAGGTCATATCCAGCTATGTGTCCCGGTTCTGTCATGGGCCAGTGTAAAACCCATGTACTGGCCTGTGGCGTCAGGAAACACGGCATGGATGCGTAGGACCATGCAGGCTGGAATGACGACCCGGATTCTGTGACCAAGGAAGCCCCAGCACCAGCCCACAAAGCTCCTATAGGCTAGATACCTGTACTGACTAAAACAACTGGACAGGGCATTTAGTCTTGCAAACATATATCTATGTTGTGTCTCACAATTTTTTATTATCACTGATTATAAGTGACTCATTTGATGCAAATAAATGCTTGATTGTTTCTAAAGAAATGACTCCTGAATTCATATATTATATGCAGACTATCTGCTGATAGAAGAACTTTACAAATCAAAGAGCAGCTAAAGTAATTTATTTGAGGGTGTGTTACTCCATTTGTGGTGTGTTATTACCGTTGTAAAATGATGTGCACTGAAGTAAAACAAGACTGCCTAACATCTTTTATTTAGATTGAAACTATATGTTTTTACAAAGAAGCAAAATGTACTGATGTATTCCTCTCAACTGTAAAGTACCGTAGTCAGTGTGGTACATGTTGCAGGCAGAACACATTGAGGTAGAGCGGCTCCAACCCAGGATGGTCTACCATACATGGTAATTCTTCCTCGATCTCCCCTAGCCGTCTGGTAACCTACAGTGAATTCCAAATGGTAAATGCTATGGTTTATTATAAATGTAATGTAATGAAAACAAAGTGCTGATTAGTTTGTCTAGTGAGAATGCTACCTGTGGTATCTCCTAGCAGCAGATATTCTCAGCGTCTGTGGGCATGGTTGCACAGTTTCCACAGGAGCACCTGTCCAAAATATAGAGAAAAATGGAAATATTCACCAGAATATAAAGCTTATGAAATTCAAAAACTGACAGACAGTGGAGCTGAGGTGGGTAAGAAGTAAGATTGGCTACATATCAAGTGTATATAACATAGATAATTTATAACATGTCACTTATTGCATATACTGTGGAGCTTGACAACAGTGTAGTGTAGAAAACACGGCACAGCCTCGTCTTTGACTAAAGATTAATGTTGCTGACAGACGTGTTTATGCTGATTTACAGCTTTTATTGTAATGCACAAAATAAATTTACTACATAAAGGAAGATGTTATGATGAGCATCTCTGCTGAAAACATGGATAAAAATGAATAAAATAAAAATGATTTACTTTGTCAGCATCTATTAAAGTATCTTACTGGTCTTGACATTGAACACCTGTAGCAGTCCTCAGTCAACAGACATTTTCATAGACTGTAAAAGTATATCTAAGGAGGCATGCCAGATAACTACATTACACAATTCACAATAGTGCTTATTTACCAAAAGTAATGAGGAGACAGTATACTATACTATACTATGTTGTTGTTGTTGTTGTTAAAAGTCAGTGTTTGTGTAGTTATTGGTTCTTTTATTTTTGGAGCCTCTCTGTGTTTCTTCAAACATCCAGTGGAAGTTTAAGGGCACTACATTGTTTGGTTGTTTACTAAAACATCAAAATGTAAAAATGTCCTATATCAACATGTCTTTGTCCTCGTGCATACGTGTGTGTGTGTGTGTGTGTGTGCGCGCGCGTGTGCGTGCGCGTGTGTCAGGGCTCGAGGCCGGAGGGATTGGGCTCGTGTTGACCTACGCCGTGACGCTGATAGGAAACTTCCAGTGGACCGTGAGGCAGAGCGCGGAGGTGGAGAACATGGTGGGGACAGAGCCGCCGGTCCGGGGGTGTCGAGTCAGAGCCGGAGGGCGGAGGGTCGGCGCGGGGATTCACTCAATCAACCTCTTTATCTCTTCAGATGACCTCGGTGGAGCGGGCGGTGGAGTACACAGAGCTGAAGAGCGAGGCACCCTGGGAGACCCAGAAGCGTCCTCCCGCCGACTGGCCCAGCCGAGGACTGTCCTACAGCGAAGACGGGCCGCCGGTCCTCAGAGACATCAGCGCCACTTTCTAACCGCACGAGAAGGTGAGACGTGACAGTCGGTTTAGAGCTCGTGACTTTACGCACATGACGTCAGCGCACGTGCCGGTTTCATGTCCGTGTGTCCCCCGCTGCGTCAGGTCGGGATCGTGGGGAGAACGGGCGCCGGGAAAAGCTCCCTGGTGTCGGTCCTGTTCCGCCTGGCTGAGCCGCAGGGGGAGATCCACATAGACGGCGTCCTGACGTCAGAGATCGGCCTTCACGACCTGCGTCAGAGGATGTCCATCATTCCCCAGGTAGAGATGACGCGTGGGTTTTGAATGTTTTGAACATGCTTGTTAGAATTGAGCAATGTTATTATTGAACAGGGGATGAAGTCCAAGTTTGTGTATTTATTTCTGTTCGGACTCCTACATATATTTCACAGCTGTAATGAGAAAGTTGATTGAACTCCCCAATGTGGTGTAGAATTGTTGAAATAAGCAGAAACTCAGTCAGTTTGAACATGAAAATGCATTTAGAGTAATAATGTGAAATATAATAACAGAAGAAGTTCCACTTGATTAGAAGGCAGGACTTTGAATTGTAATGACAGTGTTGTTACTGTGGTGTAACGCTGCTGTTGTTGAAGTGAAGGATGTTTGGGATGTGAAGGAAGCGCAGCTCGTGGTTTCAGCGCGTCTGTCCCTCCTTGTGCCGCAGGACCCGGTGCTGTTCACCGACACCGTGAGGAAGAACCTGGACCCTTTCAAGCAGTATGCGGAGGAAGAGCTGTGAAGGGCCCTGGAGGAGGCGAGTATCCAATCAGAGCTGTGTCAGTATCTCCTGTTCTTCTGTTGACTCTGTGTGTGTGTGTGTGTGTGTGTGTGTGTGTGTGTGTGTGTGTGTGTGTGTGTGTGTGTGTGTGTATGTATGTATGTATGTATGTATGTATGTATGTATGTATGTATGTATGTATGTATGTATGTATGTATGTATGCGCAGGTGCAGCTGAAGTCGGTCGTGGAGGAGCTGCCTGGGAGGTTGGAGACGGTTCTGGCCGAGTCGGGCTCTAACTTCAGCGTGGGTCAGAGGCAGCTGGTGTGTCTGGCCAGAGCCATCCTGAGGAAGAACCGCATCCTCATTGTCTACGAGGCCACGGCCAATGTGGACCCCAGGTATGAGACACACTATATACGCGCGTGCACACACACACACACACACACACACACACACACACACACGAGCCCTGAGTGCAGTAAAGGTTTTAGTTTCTTTTGTTTCCACTAGATGACTGTCTGTCTGTGTTGTGACTGTGTTTGTGCAGGACGGACGAGCTGATCCAGAGAACCATCCGGGACAAATTCTGAGAATGCATGGTGCTCACCTTCGCTCATCACCTCAACACCATCATAGATAGTGAGTGGATACTGGTGAGTCCTCTCCAGCTCATGTTAACCAGCATTAATAATAGTAAAAAGTGTGTGTGGAGCTGCATCCACAAAGTAAATGGACATGATTACTGTGTAGTAATGGTTATTTAAGCACTTTATTTAATTGTCTTGTGCATTTTTAGTTTTTCTTTCTTTCTTTTTGAGTTTAATTTGTTGTTGTTGTTGTTGTTGTTTAAACTCGTGCAGTCCACTCGTTCTGCATGTGTATGTTACTGAACACCTGCATGGATGTTTGATGGTGTTGTAAGGTGCTGGACGGTGGAACCATCCAGGAGCTAGACTGGCCCTTCACTCTGCTGCAGTACAAGATGGTGCAGCAGCTGGGAGCAGCTGATCTGCAGGAGTGTGCCAGACAGGTGAGGTGGGAATGTTCCTGTGGTTGGACGTGATGCATGTATTGTATTTATTACTGGATGTTTACTATTGATGGGATGATGTTTCCTCATGTTCACAGACACAAAGACCACAACTCTGTTGAAAATTAAATAAACTTTATCTGAACAAAAGACTGTACAAACAGTAATGTGCTTCTTGTGAGTTCACATCCAACCCCACTGTCTTCAGGTCATGCAGTCAACACACACATGCATGCATACACACACGCAACCCTAACCCTAACCCTAGTAGGAGCTGCATGTAACATTTGTCATAAGTCATAATCAGGTGTATTTGTACATATGGTGTGGGAAATATTGCGGGCTCCCCCGGGCGAAGGGCATATCAGTGCGTTTGCGGGCCACCGTCTTCCTAAGCGCGCAGTGAAGTGTAGACTGGAAGTTTCTTCTGCGCTTAGGAAGACGGTGGCCCGCAAACGCACTGATATGCCCTTCGCCCGGGGGAGCCCGCAATATTTCCCACACCATATGTTCCAAAATTACTCTACATCAAACATACATACATCCATCCATCTGTACGATATGCCTCCCTTCAGCAGGTGGGCTGGCAGGTCATTTCCCCAATCTACCTCAGGTGTCTCACTCACACAGTCACACCCACAGGCTCTGTGAGGCACTGCTGCTGCAGGCAATTAACCCCAATTATCGCCTGTCGGCTCACTCCACCTCTGTTGGAGCAGGAATCCTTCCACTCTGCCGTGTGACACTGCACATGTAAGGGCCGTCTTACAACACCTCACAACAAACAACATTTCTTTTCCCCGCATAAAGTGTCTCTTCTGATCTTCACACTTTGATGTCTTGGGAACAGTTGCACATTTTCTGTGGTTACATCCACACGTACAAACTGCTGCAAACCTACAATAAGGCACTTAATTACCATTTTTAAAAACTACTTCTCTACATAGGAAACATAAAAAATAAATAGTGTCCATGTCAACAGTTTGTACAGCAGTGATTTCCAGCTTCTCTCAGCAGCATGTGCGTATATTTGGCTGAGCCGTTCCAGGCCACAGTGAGGCCAGAGCCTCTCGGTCTCCTCACCAGCTCCATGGATGAGGTGCTCTGTGGCGGGAGGGGAGGGGAGGGGATGGGGGGGGCACTGGAGGCACTTTCTCAAGTCTTCTGGCAATGCAGCGAGTCAGACCCTCCTGTTGCTCACAGAGCCGTCTCAAAGATGACCAGGTTACCGTCTGCCGTCTCCGCGTGTCCCTTTGACATGTTGGAGCGGCTTCTGTTATCGAATACCTGACAACACAAGCAGCACAGGTCACAAACACAAGCCTCTCACAGCAGGACACATGATGTACATTTGACCATGAAGGACACACGCACCTGTTTAGCTGCCTGTAGTAGAGCGGCTGCTTCCTGTTTACCAGTCTGCTGCACCATCTTGTAAAAGATGCCGTCTGGATCCTGAAGGAGGGTGAAAGGCTCATCGAAGGCGTGGATCCTCCCTGCATCTAGAACCTGGACACACAAACACATTTGTCCTTTTTAATTATTGACTCATGCATTCATTTTAACTGTGTGTATGTATGTGTGTATATACACACTACTGACATTCACTGCAAACATCTAATCAAAGCATTTCACTGACTAAACATATTACACAAGCAAAGTGACGATGCATCATAAATGTGTCTGAGCTTCTCCATTTGGAAAGTCACCACCACCACCACCACAACAACAACAACAACAACAACAACAACATGACTCTCCTCCCAACATCCAGCCACAGGTGCTTTTCACAACAACACAGTTCTGAGATTACAACTTGTAGCCACTAAAGGGCAACAAAAAAACACTTTGTGTAGCTCTATTACTCTTATTTTCTCAAACATGTATCTGCTTTAACTTTGAAGCTACAGTCAGGATGTGGTTACTCTAAACAATCTCAACTACGTCAGTGACTCTGGGTGGAGCCGTGTGCTGGGCAGGTTTCCAGATGAACAGCAGTGTCACAGCTTCACAGCTGCTCAGTCACTCCACTGAGCTGCTTGTTCACCTACAATAGTTTGAATGTGTCACTCCCACTGACGCCACAACTTTCCCTACACACAACAAAGATAAAATATGTTCATCCGGTTTGAGAGATGCTGATAACCGTCCCTCACCAGCTGATTCCTCTTAGCTAAAGTGTAAAAACTCCTCATATAGAAAGACATAAAAACAACATATACTCTGACAGTTTTCACTTTTCAAGCCTCACTATGCTAAACCTTTTTCACACCATCTAAAAGCAAAACATTCAATGTCTGATAAATGACTTTCTAGGACTTACCCAACTATAGATACCACGTGTGTATTTCTACTAATGTCACACACTTCCAACCAGGTCAACCTGTTACACTGACTGCAGCTGTGTGAACGCAGTCACTCAGCATGGCGTCTCTGGGAAACACCGTGTGCAGTTGTGGACATTAAATCTGAACCACATGAGCTCCAAACTATAATCTGCAGAGGAGAGGACTCACCAGTATCCGGCCACTGTCTATGATGGTGTTGAGGCGATGAGCGATGGTGAGCACCGTGCATTCTCCAAACTTGTCCCGGATGGTTCTCTGGATCAGCTCATCTGTCCTGCACACACACACAGTCACAACACAGACAGTCATCCGGTGGAAACTAAAGGAAACTAAACCTTTACCACACTCAGGGCTCATGTGTGTGTGTGTGTGTTACCAACCTCTTGCAGAGCGTTCCACAGTTCCTCATCCATGTGTTGGTTGAAAGGATCCAGGTTCTTCCTCATGGAGCCAGTAAACAGCACTGGGTCCTGGAAGATGAGCTCAAAGGTCACTACTGATTACACATCTAGTCCAAATACAAGACATTTCCAAAACTGATCACTTAAGTCATATAAAGAGCTCAAAGTTAAGGTGACAGTTGCTTCATTTATTCCTGTAGTTGATTAAGACAAAGTCAGTGAAGAAAGCACAATGAAAGAATTCAAAACGAAGCAAAGACCCATGTCTGTTGAAAAGATCCAAACACACCGGCTTTTTCTCAGTCAACTCATTTCCTGGCGCTCAGCTGCTGAATCAAGCCACTCGTGACCATAAAATCTTTCATTTTAAAAGGGTTCACTGTCCTCCTGAAGTGCAGGTACCTGAGGAATGATGGACATCCTCTGGCAAAGGTCACAGAGGCCAATCTCTGAGGTCAGGATACCGTCCACATAGATCTTTCCCTGAGGCTCCAACAGGCGGAACAGAGCTGAGACCAGGGAGCTTTTCCCAGCACCGGTTCTCCCCACAATCCCGACCTGACACACCAGAACAAACAACATCAGCTTCGCTTTAAACATCACGTGAAACACACTATGTGTGATCGTCAAACACCTCTGACCTTTTCTTTGGGTCTGAACGTGGCTTTCAGTTCATGCAGCACCAGCAGAACACAGAGGACAGACTGAAAAGCTTTGAGACAGATGCTGTCTTCATCTCTGACCGAGTGGCTTCAGGGGTTAGAGGGCTACTCTATAGACTGAGAGGTTGAGAGTTCAAACTTGGTTTGATCTTACTACATTTCTGGCCTTACTTTACTATGACATCTTTATACCTTAATATACTATGACCTTTTTTGATGTTTTTATGCCTTATTATACTATGACATTTTTTCACATTTTTTGCAATACCATAGAATGTCATTTTTTCACTTTTAAGGCCTTACTATACTATGACATCTCCATATCTTACTATACTATAACTTTTTTGATGGTTTTATGTCTTATTATACTATGTCATTTTTTCGCTTTTTTTTGTCATAGTATACTATATTGTTTTTTTCACTTCACCCAAAGCTGCTCACTCTCTAGAGTAACCCTGTAACCCCCGAAGCCACTCGGTCAGAGATACATACAGTATCTTTTTCCCAAAAAGTAGACAGATCAAACAAGACACAAACCCACAACCTCTGAGTCTGTAGAGTAGCCGTCTGACTCCTTAAGCCACTCTGTCAGAGATAAAGAGCACCTCTTTCTCACTTTTTGGGCCCATCACACAGAGGAAAGACTGAAACACTTTGAGAAAGATGCTGTCTTTATCTCTAACTGAGTAGTTTAAGTGGTTAGAGGGCTACTCCACAGACTGAGAGGTTGAGAGTTCAAATCTCATTTGATCTTACTACTTTTCTGGGACCAACACACAGAGGAAAAACTGAAAAGCTTTGAGGGAGATGTTGTCGTTATCTCTAACTGAGTGGCCTAAGGGGTTAGAGGGTTGCTCTAGAGGTTCAGAGGTTTAGAGTTCAAACCTTGTCAAACTAAGGGTTTTGATGATTCATTCCAATGAATAATAGAAAAGCCAAGTGAAATTTGTATTACAACAGTTCTCCTAGATTCGGGGAAGTGTGACTTTTATTGACAAGAACAACTGATGTCTATGATGTGAAATTACAGGTGGTGGTTTGTAAGTTTTCTTGGGCTTGGAGGAAAGACTACATCGAGATGAAAATGCATGTATTTGATTGAATTTTTTGGATAAATTAAATCTCTCTCTCTCTCTCTCTCTCTCTCTCTCTCTCTCTCTCTCTACTGTTGTAAGAGTGTAACAGAGAAAGCCACAGGATTGAAAAGTGAGCAGTTTGTGTAAGAGTAAAACATGTGAAGATAAAAGAAATCCTCTTACCGCTCTGCAGACAGTCACGGTCCTCACACAGTTGAGTGGGATATTGAGAAACATCCGTCTCCACCTGTAAGAAGAAATAAACCAAATGTAAGTAAGTGTTTTGACGTGGTAGAAAATGTTTGAGCTGCAGTGATATATGTAAAAAATGACACTTTCATTGTGTTTCATTGCTAAATATTGAAGTGGTTGAGGTCATTGGTGGGGATAAGATCACAATATACAGACATTTAAAGAAGGTTGCAGCCCAGAGAGGAATAAGTGAATATTTGTAATGTTAAAGATAAATGAATAAAAGATTAAAGTAATGGATAAATGACACAAAGACCATGTAATCCATGGTCCTTGCTAAGAAAGAGGGGAACAGGCTAATGGGCTTGTTATTGTAGCAAGTGACTGTGACTGTGTTATTTTGGCAAATGTAAGTGATTGAGCTTTGTGGCATCTAGCACAATAAAGATAAGTTGTATTGTTTTTCCTCTTGCCCACTAGAATACATGTCAACTAGATATAATAAGCAGTGGTGGCTGGTTGGTCCGACCTGTGGTCCAGGTACCTTTTATCATTGGTGGCCACCTTCTGGTCTTATGGACAGCCACTCCTCTTTACTACAACATGGGTGAATGTGGCACATCTCAGTCTAAACAGTCAACAGCTGGAGTTGGAGTGATCTGCTGGACTCTGCTGGTCCTCCTCATGCCATTGCAACAAACTATTGCACAAGCAAAGATACACACTGTTTTCTGCAAAGCCTTATCTCTTAACTGTCAGAAAATATAATATGCTTTTGTCAATGTCATTTATATAAGTCTGTCTTCTGTCCAGGCTGCTGAATGAACAGGGGCCAGAGAAGTGACCTGAAGTGCACACAAACACAAATGTGGTGTAAAGTTTTCTGACTAAAGCACCACAGGCCGTCTTCCCCTCTTTCTTTGGATTTTTCTTTACCTTTTCCTACATTTTCTATCAATGATATCACCAGTTAAGATGTTTGAAAGTCAACAGAGAAATTGAAATTAAATTATTAATACTACTACTACTACTACGATTTCCTTTGACGTGACTTGGAAGTTAATGGCAGAGCTACACAAAGACGTTAAATGTTACTTATTTTCATAGTTGTTTCGTGATATTTCATTGAATTGAAGTTACCCAAATGTTTGTAGCATGTGCTCCCATCCGTGCTCCCTCCAAGCCGAGGTGAAAAGTCAGACTGTCAAACAGGAATCAGATGAACCCAATTTCATTTATAGAAGGGGGAACCCGGAATGTACTAAGTGGGGTGGAGAACAGAGGGGTGTTCGGTTGTATGTTGAAGTGTCAGCCAATCATATGAACTTTGAGGGCGGACACTGAGAGGAAAGACTGAAAAACTCTGAAAAGATCATTTGATTGTCTCTGGCCTAGTTGCTCAAGGTGTTAGAGGATTCTAAGACTGGTGGTTAAATCACCCTGGAATTACTTAAGAGGGTCAGAGGGCTACTCTACACACTCGCAGGTTGCGGGTTTCAATCTCATTTGATCTTACTACTTTTCAGGACAGACTGAAAAGCTTCAACAAAGACACTCTCGACATGTGACAGTCTCGACAAAAGTGCTAAATAGCTGCACGGACCGTTTACTAGTGAAGAGACTCGAGCACGTTTCACAAATCATGGAAGAAAAGCCTGTGACAGAGCGCAATAGTTTAATCCGAATGAGCCACACATTACAAACTTGTCAGGTTCAGGAAGGGAATGGATGTAGTTCAATTAAATCCACTTCCAGCGAGAGTTTCGCACTGAGTGAGAAAACTGCTTGACGGAATCATCCCTCTAGGTGTGTGATGACCTCCCCTCCGTCTCAGGTAGGGAAAATATATATTGGCTATAGCACATATTATTTATGCATAATGACTTGAGGAAATGCTGAGCTTGGCTTTCCAATTCCCCCTGCCTCGCCACAGTATATGAGTCCCTTGGGGTGCATGTGATAGATTTTTAATCTCTTTCCTTTGGAGCCTTTATAATGTATATAAGGGTTCTAACCCCAAGGTATATATTGCACAGTTTATCATTAAACTAATCATTAAAGAATATCATTGTTCAGCAGTTTGAAGGAGGCACATGTGTGGGACTGTTGTTGATAACAAGGCATACACAGTATTTGTCTCTGGGCCAGGCTCGTACTCTTTTGGAGGCCTGGCCAATCATGAGGCTGGATAATCAGTCCTCGCTGGAGTTTCAGATCATCATGATGGCTCAGAAAAGCTTCTAACTATGTTGCAGAAGCTTTGGTTAAGGTTTAATATAGCATATCCAGTCAATGTGTTTGTTTATCCACCAGTACCTACCTGCATAACGTCCTACTCACAGTACACACAGTTTTTCCCTCTGAACCATCACATTCAAAGAAACCAAAGTAGAGATTTGCAAGAGACTTCTTTTGCTGTCAAACTGTTTCTAGCACACCAGGTCCCCAGATCGTTTCTGCTGTTTAGAGAGGGAAAAACATACTCCTACTCTTTCCCACTCTTCAACTTTGGCAGGTTTTTTTTTTTTTTTTGCAGCGCAGGAAACAGCTGTCCCCCAGACCTTATTTTAGAAAACAGATAAAGGATTTCATCTTACATCAGAGCTTCCAGTCTCTGCCTGGTGTTTCTCAGGAGCGAGGTGGTCGTTGAAAGCCCGACAGAGATATTGTGATAGATGACCTCAGGCAAACCAGATGCCAAGTCACTAATAAAAAGCACTCGAGGGGGCCGTAAACTAAAAGTCAACCAAAGGTTATCGGAACAAAAGAAAACAGTATTTTTCACAAGCGGCATCTGCTCTTGATCATATTGACTCGGTCTCGATCCTGATACTGAAGCTTTAAAGATGAACAAGCGCTTCACATATGGAAATTAAAAAGCTAGATAAAGGCGTACCCTTTGGGCTTGGCACCATTGGCTGGCAATGCCAAGGAGCTGGATCTGTATAATTGCTCAAAGAACTATGATGAAACTCAGATATTCGGGGGAATGCGTTGTTGAATGTTGTTAAAACTATACACCTTAGTTCATACTTCATTTAGGCAATATGCCTCAAAAGCTTTCATGATTTAGGCATAACCTAAAGCATAGTGGACCTCTATATATGAGATGCTCTCAAGCACTGTGGTGAGTGATTTATTGCTTTCATAAAAGCAGCGTAAAGAATATTTAATTATTATTTCTTATCAAGAATTTCAAATAAATTGGATAAATAAACGCATTGCAACTTTTAGCATAGCAGTGATGTACAGTACTCCAAGCAGGCCTTCAACAGTCGCATAGCAACAGCAGCCAGAGCTTCCTACATACAGTAGATGTGTTTAGTGTTGCTCGGCACTCCGTGGAAACTGAAGCCCAGTAGTTCTGGTGGGAATATGCAGCAGCTTATTAATACATTTGTCCTGTTCTTGTTGTGTTTATGTTGACCTGAGCTCAAAGTGCTGAGAGGACAGACTGAGGTGGATTCTTAACCCTAATGGCCGACCCAAATAACCTCCTCTGAGCCCCAAAAACCTCACGAGGTGGTGGAGGAGACTCAGTTTCTTCTTGAGAAACTC